GGGAAGTAGTCTAATAATTCTTCTAGTTCCTAGTTAACCCTGTATCTTATAATCCTATTCCTAATCTAGTATAATGTAAAGCATAGGTCTAGTGTGCTGCTGCTTCCTCTTGCCTCCTAAGTAATTAGTCCCTTTAGGGTAACAATTTCTATTCCTTCCCTCTCTAATATGTTAATTAGTCTTCCTGCTAGGAAGTAGTAAGCTAGGGTAAAGTCTAAGCCCTAGAGGGGGTAGTAGAGGTTGAAATCCCTAAGTAGGATTTAGTAGGTGTTCCCCTAGATAACTCTAGGTAGTCTTTCTAGGGTTTTTAGTTAGGTACTGCTTCTTAAGTCTAGTAGTAGGTTATATATATAGTAGACTTAGAGTGTGCCTTAGGATGTCTCTACTTGAACTAATGTTAGGTCCCTATCCTCCTATAGTATAGCCTGCTAGGTTTCTATATCTATCTCCTTGCTAATATAGATATATATCCTTAGGGCTCCCTAGTTGTAGATAATTAGGTAGTATCTTAGGTCTTTAACTATTGCTAGTCTCTTTATATATAGGTTGAGCTAGGGCTCTTAGATTGCAATAATATAATGTTCTTTTAGGTTTAGTACTTAAAGGAAGCTCCTCTATACCTTGTCTTTACTCTTGTTAACATTGTACTATATAATGTTTAGTAATGTTGCAATGTTTATTAGGTTTTATCTATGCTACTTTTATAATCTTTAGGCTTAGGTATATAGCTTAGTTTTGTCTTTATAGGCTCTTAATATCCTGTTCTTCCTTAAAGCTTCTTGTTATACTATAGGCTATAATTATAAACTGCTATTAGGAGACCTTTACTGTTTTCCCTATCTTAGTTGTCTATTCTTTTTGTGTTTCTAGCTTCTTTTTGTCCTACTCTTGTGCTATAAATAGCTTGATTACCCCTTTCCCTTCGTTCCTAGCCCTAATTACCTCTTTAACTGTAATTCTTTCTATAATCTCTTTCCCTATAAGTCCTTAGATTTCCTTTTGCTCCTATAGGTCCGTAATATAGACTCTAACTACTGTCCTCGGGGGTTTTAGCGCCTCCTAACTAGCTACTGCTGCCTAGGTGCGGTAGTTTAGGCTTATCTCCTATTGTTTCTTCGTAATCTTTGCTACGACTATATTAGCTACCTTTGTAATTACGTAGCTTGCCTAGTTATAGATTGCTTTCAGTCCTCTAAGGAGTTCTAAGATTATTATCCTATATACCCTCTTAGGGGTTCTTCTATCTTCCGCCTTTAGCACCTCCTCTGCCCTAGTATATAGTACTTTCTATTCGTCCTCCCTTCCTTCTTAACTGTCTTCCCTTCGTCTCTAATTGTTCGCTGCCATTTTGATAGTCGATATATAGACGAATACTACTATCCTTCTTAGGGACAAAGAGGATAGGTATACCGTATAGGGACTTACTAGGCCGAATCTAGCCTTTAGCTAGAGCCTAATCGATATATTCGCGGAGTGTCTTTAATTCGTCCTACGAGAGGTTGTAAATAGGAAGTTATAGAGGAACTTTACCTACTTCTAGTTTAATAGTATAGTCGTACTAAGAATGCTAAGGAATAATACTAGCAAGGTCGGTGTTAAAGACATTAACGTAGTCTTTAAATGCTTCGGGTACTTCTTAATAAACTTCGGTAGTAGCGATAATAGTATACTAATAGATAGAGCCGGGAAGCGAAGCTAATTTAGAGTAAGGGTCGTAAAGGGTTTTAAACCTAGAATAAGTAATAAGTGCCCCGATCTACTAACGATCTTATTAACTACAATCGATAGTAGTAGGATCGCGGTTACCTCCTCCTTAGGCGGAGAGGGTTATAAGAGCCTCTACTACTAGGGTATAGAGGTAGTCTAGAGGTACCTCCGAGGCACTAGCAACGTTAGGATTGTTACCTAGTAGTTCATCGTTAGTAGTTTCGGGTCTAACAATATACCGGCTATCTTTAAGCTAGAAGGTAGCCGATCCGTTAACGATTGCTATAAGAATGCGATAGATAGGATTATTCGTAAGGACCTCGTAGGAGTCTCCGAGGGGCTTATTAGGCGCCTTAAAGTAGTCCTCTAGGTCTCTAGTAATCGGGTTCTAGATAAAGGTTCCTTTTCGGAAAGAGATAAGAGGATTAGCATCGGCGAGCTAGTCCTATCCTAAAACTATATCGTATCCGGTAAAGGTCCTAGCCTAAAAGGTTTAAGGGATAGTACACTCGGTACCCGTCTTATCCTTTACTATCGGAGAGAGGGAGTAAGCCTTATAGATCGTTATACGATTATTGTCGAGGAAAGTAACTTTCGGAGGGACTAGATCTAGCGGTACTAGGTCTAGGACTTTCGCTATATACTAAGAGATAAGGTTAATTTAGGCACTATAATCGATTAGTACCTTAAGGGTACGCGTAAGGCCCTTATAAGGCACCTTAACGTCGACGACAATATATCGTTCTCTTCCTCTAGTATTAGGCCCTAGTCGTAGTAAGGAAAGGGAAGCGACTAGGGCTTCGTGTTTTCCGAACTAGTAGAGGCTTAGCTATCTCCGGCGGAGGAATTAGAGGTTAGGTTTACTAATCCGCCCTAGGCTTAGCCTCGGCTACGGTTTCTAAACTAACCCCGACCGCTACCTCTACCCCTAGGGCCCCTTAGAGGTGCCTATAAGGTACTAGGAGGGGTATCGGTTCTAGAACTAGATACTTGCTTAGAAGACCCGCCGGAATTGCGAGTATTCTTAGCGGCATCTTTCTTCTTTATAGACTCCGAGTCTTCGATATAGTATGCCTCGTTAAAGAGATTATTAACGGTCTAAAACGAAATTAGCTTATTAATGCGGATAATCTCTACTTAGATATCCTTTAGAAGCTTAGTATAATAGAAGTCGATACGTGCAGTTTTATACGATCTATCTTTAGGAAAACTATACTCGATTTAGCTTTCGACCTTCTTTATATAGGCGTAGAACTTTATTACTAGTTAATTAGCGTAGTATATAGCACCCTAGTAGAATATAGCATTCTCGGCTCGCTATATAGCCGGAGGCCTAATAGTGTCTTTAATAAGTTCTTTATACTCGGACTATCTAAACTTAGTATAGTTATCTATATACGATTAGATACGCCGTTTAACGGCAGTAGTAATCTCTACTAGTTTAACCTTACTAGTCGCCTATAGAGTGCGTCTAGTACCGTCTCGATCGGTGCAATTTATATAGAAGAAGCGGGCCTCGTATACTTAGGCCTACTTAAGAAAAGCTTAGTTATTTATAGTAAGAAGCTCGGGAGGATCTTTCTTAAAGAGCTTAATTAAGGGGTCTCTTAGAGGCCCTAGAGGTACCTACGAGGCGCCGGTAGGACTTACGGTCTCGTCGACGGTCTCTGCCCTCTTCCTTTTAATAGCAATCTTGCTTTTAAAGGAGGTAAGGAGATCTATAAGGGTTTTACGCTTCTAAACGTAAGCGTCGAAGGCTTAGCCTTCTAATTCCTCTAGTAGTAAGGTATCGAGGGTATTAATAAGTCGAGAAACTCGATTAATATTATTCTTTGCTATCTGCTAGGCATTAGCCTAAGGGTTTAGGTCCTAATCCTCTTCTTTAGGACCGGATTCCGTACGGCTACTTATACGGGAGCTACGAGGTCCCTTTAAGGTACTTATAGTATCGTCCGGAGTAGTATCGTTATCTTCTTCGTTATCGTCCTAAAGTTAGTCTCTAGGTCTAGTAGGGAATGTTTATTCTTCTACTAGAGGGTTAATATTAAGACCTTTTCCCTTAGATAACAATATACCGGTTCCGCCGGCGGCCCTACCGCTTCCTTTAGAAGGTATAGTACTAATAAGTAGGTAGTACTACGTTAGGAGTAGGTACGCTAGTTAGAGGTGCTTTCGGGTAGCTTAGAGGCACTTCGAAGGGGCCTAGTAGGTACCGACGACGTAGGTACTACTACTTAGAGGTCGTACTTAGTATAGCTATACTCCTAAGGAGGATTCGGAGGCGATATTCTATAAGGAAGTAGTATATAGGGAGTATTAATACGAGTAAATAGTAGTCTTAGCATTTAACGATATCGCCTAAGGAACGAGCGATTCTCGAGGTAGGAACAGGCGCCTTATCCTATAGTGCTAAGAGTTAGGTAACTCGGGGTTACCGGCGAGGCACCTCTAGGGTGCCTTATAGGTGCCTAGTAAGGGTCTCGGCGGTATAGAAGGGTATTCCCTTATAAGGGGCTATATTTAAAGGGATATAGATCTCCTCGGGGGTTTTCTATAGTCTAGATTATATAATAATATCCTTCGGGGGGTACTCAGAGTATAAAATAAGACTCTCTTATATATAGTATAGATATAAACTAATTTTCTATTATTTTAATAAAGTACTATATAAGAAGTTAAAAGGATTAATTCTTTTTTTGTTTTTATATAAAGAAGTATTAGCTACCTTACCTAAAATAGAAGGTATACCCCTTTTATATAAGCTAAGGGGATATATAACGCGTTAGCTTAGCTATATAATAACTATATAACTTCTTAGCAGATAAAGGATTTTTATACTACATTTAGACTATAGAATAGACAGAACATAGGCTATTAACGAAGCCATTTTGAACCGCCGGCAAGGCAGGATTACGTAAGCAATCCACTGCGCTGTGCGTAATAAATTAGGCTGGCTGGTGTCGGAGCAATTCTCGGTATCCTGGTCCTCGTCCTGACCATGATCAGATTCATGCCGATTTGAGTTGGAAGATTATAATTTAGACTCGTCACGTTCAGATATTGCTTCACTTTCGTTGGGCTCAGAGTTCTCCATCATAGTAGCCAGTTTTCGATGATCTCTCGAAGGACGTAAGCGCTGATAACGACCATAGTGAAGTCTTTCTGCCAGAAAGATAATCCAAATGCGTCACCGCATCGAATGCAATACGACTTGTGAGAGGGAAGCAGGTCCGGCGCGAACACCTACAAGGCCTGCAAGCTGCATAATTCTGCATGGCACGATCTGTAACAAATCAACCGTATTCGCTTAGGGAATCTTCGTCCTGTACATGTCTCTTACTCGGTCCGGATCTCATTTCATGCCAAACTCCGTCCTCATCCCACTTCCCTGCTTTACTGTAGTCCGCAGTTCTGCTGCCAGACATGTATCCGAAGCGGAAGTACTCCGGTAGTGTGCCGCCCCTTATGCCTATGTCATGCTCAGCGCCAACACGGAGCTCGTCTCTGCCAAGCCTGTGTCTCTGCCATGTCCAAGTAAAGTTCCCTGAGTACCAATCCTGGTCCCAATAAGATCTATCATCGCTGTAGCCTCTGAATCTTTCAATATCGTTCACTAGTACGCTGATGCCGTCATAAGTGGCCCGATTCTTGGGGTCAAAGCGCGGCAATGGTCCAAGGTTGAAAGTTATGTTCTTTGCTCCAATGGCGAGAACAGATATTGCGGGTATCAACGATCCTTGTTGTGCTCCTTTCAACAGTTCTGAGGGCAACTCGACGATGGAAGCAAAACCCCAGCGTGCAATGCCGTTCACGAAAAGGCCGATCAGGAGACCTTGGTAGAGCAGTGATGGACGATTCTGAAAAGAAGTTCCTGGAAGAAGGAGGAGAGCAAGGATATAATGGTGAATGCGCAGGTCTAGGCCGGGAACAGCAAGAAAGATCAATAACGTGAGAATCATGAGTCCATATATCACTAGATAACGTGGCATACGGCCTTCGATCCTGAATGCCCAAGCTTGTCCTAATGCGATGAAGAAGATCGATAGCACGACGATGACCAAGGCCGGGATTGCACCTGGCTGAGCTTTGATGTCGTGCGGCGTCAGTCGCTGAATCGGTATACGGTCGAAAGTATAATTGTTCAGGCTTCCAAGCCAAGCAGGACCGAGCCAAAGGATCGTCTTTTCAATTTGTGCCGTCAGACCTGTTAAGGATCGTTTGACGGTGTATCGATACGTGACCCAAGCACAGAAACACGCGGGGAGGAAGCGGCCAAAGGCGATCGACAAGAGTGCGGAATATGTGGTATTGGCTGGCGGGTCGGAGACTAGGGCCACATGAAAGAATAGCACAACGAAAATGCTCCAGAAATGGACAGCCGGGTCAATGGTGAAGAGAGAGACGAGAATGGTGAAGATGAGAGATGGAGCGAGAGCGGGCCAGCGAAGGTCTTTACATTGCGTCCTGGTGCCGCGAAGGAATGCGAAGCTGTGTGGGAAGTAGCTACTGAAGGGAGTTGACTCGATGGAGTTGCGCTTGTTGCCGGTGAATGATGCTTGTTCACCGGTCAAGGTGAGGACGCCGCATCCTCCTTCGATATCGCGAATGTAACCAGCGTGAACTGCGGACGCGCAGATGAAGCTGTCGCCTCTGTAGACAGCATTGCCGACAACGACATGCTCGTATCCAGTCTGCTGGCTCGTGGGCCCACCGACAACCAGCGGCTTGTATACGACTTCCCTGTCTCCCACAGCATGCGGGTTGAGGATGTGGATTTTATGGCAGTCTGCTGGACATCGGAAGGCCAGCGAGGCATTGGAGAAGGGACGGCACTGGTTGCCATTCAAGCCGCAGTTGTTGCCTTCTCCCCAGTATCTAGCAGCACAGCCCAATCTCACGGGCGTGCCAAACCCTGGTATTTGTGCAGCAAACGAACTTTTCCACAGCATGAGCGAGAATAGCAGAAGCCAGCCGGCATATGCTAGTAGCAAAAGGCCAAACCTTTGTGTCCGCTTGGGGGCATAACGATCTAACAGGTTGATCGGGATGTGCTGGGCTTTGGGGAAGAATGGTGTGATTTTGTAAATGCGAGGAGGATGTGGACCTTTGACCCATCTCTTCGTCGCTGCCCAAGCATCTTTTGCCCTCTGCGGTGTGTGCTGTGCCAGTGCATCGAAGCGGGCAGTTGGAGATGCTCGTGGCAGAGGCGCATGCGGGCCGCTGGGGTCATGGTCATCGGTATGGTCGGTATGGTCGGGACTGTCGCGGTATCGGTCGTTGTGCGTCGTGTAGCCATTACTGCTGCTGCTGCTGCTGCTGCTGCTGTGCTGGGCTTCGGAATGTGTGGTATCGTGTGGAGGCATAGCTTCGGCTGCCAAGGTCGGGTTGGAAGCTGCCTGCCAGTGGTAGGGATTGCTAGCTAGCTAGGCATATGCATTTAACGCAAGATGGCTGTCGGGCAAGATGGTAATTGACACACGGTCACCTGAGAGATGCAGCAGATATTCTTACCGTCTACCCTGGAATAGTGGCAGAGATGGTGCTGTGCCTGTGCCTGACGCTGCTGGCCAGCTGATCGGCATGTCGCTAGCCGAGGAAGCCGAAGCCGAAGCCGTAATTCTTGCCATATCCGTGGCTTTGTCGCCCCCTCTGCGAGGTGGTTGCAAGCCACCTTATAATTTAGCCAAAATCGACACTTTACATCACAATGCCGCACCACACCGTTAGAATGGTGCCAAAGTGAGCAAACAAGACCTATAGAATATATTAAAGACCTCTATATATAATATAGACTATTAGGTAGTATTATAGGTTTACTATATTGCTATGTTTCCTCGCTATTACTAGGTAATAGCCCTCTAGAGGCTAGCTTAGCAGGCGACTATAGCGAAGAAGGTAGCAACGGCGGTAACGATCTAATAGGCAACTCGTATCTATTAGATAGACTACGTAGTAGTATAGTAGGCTATATATACTAATTAACAGGTATTAGCTTATTACCGTTACTATCGCTACTGCTAAAATCGCTGCTATATATTATGCTATTGTCTCTTCTAAACTGCTTTATTAAGCGCTCCTTAGCCGCCTTCCTTATAGCAACTATAGCTTATTACTACCTACGGGCCTCTTCTTTGTAAGTCTATATAACAAGCTTATATAAGGGTTTAAGTAGACCTTCTTCTTTAGTATCCGGATTAATATTACTACTAGGCTTACTACCGTAGGTAAGCACGTTATAGATAGAAACGATAGTCTTCTTAGCTCTAGCAATCTTAATATATATACGTATAATAGGGAAGACTTTAAGCGCTTCTAATAATAGCTTAGTAGGCTTATAAGTCTTTACTAATTAACTAACAGTCGACTATAGGTTATAGCCTATCTTACGTAATAGTTAGACCTTAACCTTTGTATTTATACGGCCCTTAACGCTTATATTAATAGCCTTGCGATAGCGCTTCTTATAGTTAGTCTATTATGTCCTTAATCGCCTAGCCTTATCTCTTACTTAGTTTAGTGCCGCCTCTTAGTCGTTAAACCTCCGCTTCTTAATAGCCCTCCTTGCTTGTCTAGTATATAATAGTCTACTAGTAATAATAGGCCTCGAAGACGCTTCTTCTCGTCGTTTATATACCCGAGTTGCCGCCTCGGTTTAAGAGAGGTTAAAGGTTGCTTAGGCGGCTAATTAAGAGTTAACTTTAGTATAGATAAATAGCCGCCTTACAACACTAGCTAATAGTAACGATAGGAGGCCTTCGAGCCTCTATTAGAGGAAGTCGGTATGCCTTATAGTAGTCCGTATACTTATTAATCCAGTCCGACTCTCTATTACCGGCCTAGGTACCTCTAAGTTATATAGGCGCTAGAGAATTGTTAGTAAATAGTTATCCTCGCGGAGGTATTCTAGGCTTCTAGCCGAGTCTATAACTCGGTCGGAATAGTCGATAGTAAGCGCGTCTAATCGTTCGTATTGTTACTAGTATTATATACTGTCTCTAGCGTTATATTCTAGCCGAAGGAACGTTATAGCGCGCTCCGGATCGTATAGAAGGAGGCCTGTCTTACGGAAAGAGGATTTGTTATTTAATGCTACTCGGTTTAAATATATTAGCTCGAATAGAGTCGATTGCGGCTATAAACTCGGTTATACTAAACTAAACACAACTAGTACGTATAGCGTCTATTACAGCCTGTTTGTAATAGTGTTTAAATAGCTAGAATAGGACTATATCTAGCGGTTAAAGGAAATGTAATATATAAGCTAGTAGGCCGAAGATTACTATCTTATAAGACTATACAAATTCTAGGAACTCTTAGAAGTCGTAAGAGCCGTAATTGTCGTATATTAGTATACGCTACTAGTCCTCGTTAGCTATATATCGTTTCGAGTATTTGTAGAAGTACTAGATATAGTAGTAGGCCGAGTTGTCGTTTATATAACTACTTTCTATTACGTCTACTAGTATAGACGCGGACAGGTTAGTAAACTACCGTTCTTAGAGCACCTTGCTAGCAGTAATTAGCATAGGTAGAATAGAGTTACCGGCGGCATTAACTAATTTAACAGAGGTTATATGCTTCCGGTTAGTCTTAGAAGCGCTCTAAGAGCGACGTTTCGGGTCTATTATAACGACGTATTCCTTGCCTCTAATGCTAATCCGGAAACTAGTCTTATCGAAGTTCTATATTAGCCGTAGATTAGCAATCTTATAGTATACTATTGTCTCTCGTAGCCGTATATACTATCGTCTTATCCGCTTAGGTTTATAGGCCTTCTTCCGTACTATTTTAATCGGCTTTTATAGTACTTAGTAAAGCCCGTGTTCCTTTATAAACCTCTTTGTCTAGCGCCTATCTACCGTTAGTAGATTAAGTAGATCTAGCGCGTTACGAAGAAGGATATTATTAGCAGTAACGTATAGTAGTCGTATAGGAATATCTAGGCCTATTAGCTCGCGCCTATAGTAGTATTTAAGGAGGGCTGTTTGCTAAGTAGGCTTTATCTTCGTGTTTAGTAGCTGTCGCTTAGTAAGGGCACTACGACTACTACGACGACCTATAACCTTTAGATACTAGAAGCGAAGCTTCTAATAGTTAACGTACTCGTCGGTAGACTATTGCTTAATGTTAGGTACGTAATCGTCGTAGTCGTAGTAGAAGGATAGTATCCTATCTAAAACGGCCTAAATACGGTTTTCTTCGTATACGTAGGGCGTTAATTTCGCGATAGGGCGGCGTATACGCGTACTAGCGGTTTTACGGGTACGAGGCATTATTAGAAATTCAATAAGTACGTATAGAAGCGGTTGGGAAATTAATATAGTGGATCTGATAGTGTGGTGTTGGTATTATAATGTAAAGTGTCGATTTTGGCTAAATTATAAGGTGGCTTGCAACCACCTCGCAGAGGGGGCGACAAAGCCACGGATAGCCGAAGCACCCAGACACGTTGGTGATGAAAGTCTTTCCGTTGGAATGCCTGAATGATTCAGCTCTACCCTTCTGGGGTTCTTGCACCATCCAAGGCTACCTGTATCCCCTCCCCGCACCAGAATCCCTCATCCCTCATCGTTCCCACTCCGCCAGCCCACGGGATAATGCAAGGCCGCGTCTTGGCTCTTCTCTTACCCTGATTGGCTTGACAGCTCGCATCTCCGCCGCCCGGGCCGCTCCGGATTCTGTTGAATGGCGTGGCGATAGCGATGGCGTATCTGTCGAGCTGTATGGCGATTGCATATCTATCGGACGTGAAGTAGTAGTGGCAGACTGTAGTGTCCTTGGACGACGACAACGAAGTTTGCCTGTGCAGGATGGCTCCATTCCCATATGATGCAGGCAACGGCGAGGCCGAGGCCGAGGCCACGTTGGACTCACGACCTGCTCCCAAGAATCTGTCTCACCACCTCAGCAGAGTGACAAGGGCTCGCCACGAGTCCTCCATCAAGGCCTTCTACAAGTATTTCCTCATTCCCGGTGTTGGCCAGCTCGCAGGGGGATTACCGAACAACTACTACTTCCCATTCGACACCCTCGAGGCCAAGGTCGCGCGACCAGATCGATGGCAGCCCACACCCAATCGTCCCGTCGATCCTCCGCCACACGACGAAGCGCTGCCAGCCTTGTCCTTCAACAGTCCTCTTGACCAACCGCAAGACGCCATCCTTGTGCCTCACACCTCCGACCAACCGAATCCCATCAAGAAGATTGATCTGTCGACAGCACTGCAGTATGGCCAAGCACAAGGCTATCCGCCATTATACTACTTCATTCGAGAATTTACACGGAAAGCCTTGCACCCGAACTGCCCCTACAAACATGGTCCTGAAGTCCTTCTCACCTGTGGCAACACCGATGGTTTTGGCAAAGTCTTGACTGCCTTATCAAACGAATGGAGCGAAGAGAAGGATTGGATAAGAGACCGGGAGGGTCTTCTCGTGGAAGGCTTCGCATACATGAACGCTGTGCAGGCCGCGCTGCCGAGAGGTCTTCATGTCACGCCCGTTGCCATCGATGACGAGGGCATGATCGCCGAAGGTCCAGGCGGTCTCAGGGAAGTCTTGGAGAACTGGGATCACAAGAGAGGAAAGAGACCGCATTTGATGTACACCGTGACGTGAGTACACTTGGACACAAGATCATGGTGATACAGCTGACGCATGTGATTCAGTATGGGCCAGAATCCGACATCGGGCGTGCTATCGTTGCAACGAAGACGGAGCATCTACGCCCTCTGCTGCAAGTACGACATTATCATCATCGAAGACGACCCCTACTGGTACCTGCAGTTTCCGACTTCAACAGCAGTGAACACGACGACCTCCTCGCACACCGACAACGCTTCATTCAATCCCGACCAACCAATGTTTGCAAATGCCGAACCTGTTCCACAAAACTGGAAGAAGAGCGGATACCCCTTCTTGGACTCCCTTGTTCCAAGCTCCGTCTCGATCGACACAGAAGGCCGCGTCATTCGTCTTGACACTTTTTCGAAGACCGTTGCGCCGGGATGCAGATTGGGGTGGATTACAGCCCAGTCAGCATTGATTGAGCGCATTCTTCGCATCACAGAAACAAGCACACAACAGCCCAGTGGTTTTGTCCAAGCTATGCTTTCAGAGTTGATCCTCGGTCCAGATCACGAAGGCGTCCGCCAGAAAAGGCAGAAGCCTGGCAAACGTCCTCTTCACGACGGCGAGGGCTGGAAATTCGAAGGCTGGGTCCGCTGGCTCGAAGGTCTGCGAGGAAACTATGAGCGGCGCATGAACAGCATGTGTCGCATTTTGGACTCCGGCAAGTACTTGGTGAAATCTGGACGACGACCGTCTTTGTTGCGCGGAGGCCATCCAGAGAACGAAGATGCCGATGAATGGTCTGTGATCGAGAAGACGCAACTTTACTCCTTTGACTGGCCGGTCGGAGGCATGTTTCTGTGGATGAAGGTCCACTTCGAGAGTCATTCACTCTATAGCACGTACAAGAAAGAAAACGGCGGCCTCACTAGATTCTCGCGAGCGCTTTGGATTTTCTGGACCACGAAGCCGTACCGCGTTCTGGCCGCTCCTGGCAGCATGTTCAGTCCTACCGAAGAGATAGCAGAGAACGAGGGCTGGAAATTCTTCAGATTGTGCTTCGCTGCCATCAATGAGGATGAGCTGGGACCGGTCAGTCAAAGGTTATCTGATGGCGTACAAGCTTTTTGGGGGATCAAAGACAGGAAGAAGATCGAGGAATTGCTCGACGAGGAACAAGCGGATATTGCGGCGAAAGATGGCTTGTGCAATCTCGGAGCGAGCGCCTATGGCTGCTAAGGGTATGTTGGTCTGCGAAGCATAGAAAGACGTCCACCACGGACGAAATTCAGCTGATACGAGGCGCAATGCAACGGTTCATGAAGTCGTCTTGCAAGACCGGTACCAAGTGCTCGTATCCTCAGTCTCGCGCTTTGACTAGGCAAGGACATTGTTCGCGAGAAAAGCGGCTTACTGCAGCCTTCCTTTTGTAACTGGGCGCACGGAGTCTCCCGCAGAGCCCTTCTACTGGCGCTTACCGCACAGATACCTGTTGTGTGATCTGGTCAATTGACGCCAAAGACCTTGCGGGAAAGGTGGACAACAAGCGGCTACGAGAACGACACGGAGTAGTTGAGGGGCGGAAGCACGCGGCGACAAACAACGGCAGGACCAAAGGGGACGAAATTACTCCCCAAGCTGCTTCGTGAACTACTCTCCGTTCCACATAATCGCCCGAGGCACCTTGGTCTTGAAAGTATCCTGGAGTTTCTGCCGCAATGGAATACTTACGACCGAGTCGACGCCTATCTCAGACAACGCAAGCCGGCTGTCAATCTCTTCGATATCCTTGTACGTTTTGCCGCAGAGACCAAGCTGCCTACGGAGGTCTTCACCGAAGATACGCGAATGCGTAGCAGCGGCGATGAAATCCAATCTCGGCAGTTTCACAAAGTCCCTGTTGGGCATAAGCTGCAATCTCGTCCACTTCTGCTACAGGCGGCGGGCAGTAGATGATGGCGATATTCCCTTCAGCTCCGGCCGGCTTCGAGTTGTATGCTCTGAATACTACGCGTACTATCGACGTGGGGGATATGCTTCCGAAGATGTTGTGTGAATCTCTTGCGGAGCTCATGGTCTAGGCTAACCACTGTCGCATGCGCAAAATCATGGGATCTCTTGGAGAAGTGGGCCCGAGTCCAAGCTACCTGATGGGCCAGTTTCTCCGTGCTTCGTTGGGATTGACACCAGAAGCCCTGTGAACAACGGTAAGCGCTACGCCCTTTACGTCCGATACCACCATCCCGTGCATGTCCAAGATGGCTACGTACGTGACTTGGGTTTGTTTATCGCGTGCAGGAACTTCCGTGATGTAAAGGTAGAAAGCCTTTGGGGTCGAGATTGGGAGCGAATCGTGACATAGTCAATGCTAGGGACGATACGTCGCTTGGGGTTGTCTGCAAGGAGACTAAAGCTAACTGATATCGCAGTATCTAGTATATCCGGGGTTGCGTTAGCCCACTTCACCCCTCGCCCCGGGCTCGGGGATTCAAGCTACACGTAAAATCGCTTTTTCTTAGTAGGCTACATATAAAAATCGATACTATAGTATATTATAGAGTATATAGACCGGGAAATCAAATAGGGATACGATTAGGGTTAAGAAGCAGTAGATCTCCGTTATATTAGCGACTAAATTGCGACCGTAGATAGTTAAAACAGACCTATAGTCGGCCTCCGCATATACCTCGTATTAACTATATAATTAATTACTTTAGAAGTCGGTCTATAGGTCTATTATATTATCTCTATCTCTTATTACTATTAAGTAAGTAGTTAACTACTTACCCTACTATCTTAAGACTCTTCTAGCCTAATAGGGTTGTCCTTATTACTACTAGCGACCTCGCCTCGATAATAGCTAGTTTTCTTCGAAGGCTCGTAGAAATAGCGCTTTCGCTATACTAACTCGTAGCGGCGGCGAGGATATACTTAGTAAGGCTAAATATTAGTAGTATCTATAGTATCTTCGTTAAGTAGCGCCTCGTCTTATTATAGCTATTCGAGTCGAGTATTAGGCTTTTACGCAAATAGGCTATTTAACCGCCGCTTAGTCTTAACGTTAGTCTATATTAGAAGGTCGCCGTAGCCTTCTTTATAATCGTAGGTACGAGTCGGTAGAGATAGTATTATTATTAGACTCTATATAGATATATATATATATAATTTCGCCGCTCTTAGTCGTATAAGTATATCGCTTATAATTACTAAGAATATCGGCGTATAGATTACTAGTCTTCTTTAAGGTAGAGGTATTATCGGTAGTAAGAAGGCGCTTATCGAAGACGCGTCGTAGTAGCTTATCGATAGACTATAACTCGACGTCTATCTACTTAGTCTTACTATTATTATTAAATACTAGTGTTTATATAGCTCGAAGAGCTACAAGTAAAGGACGAAGTGCTACAAGTAAAGGCCGAAGAGCTATAAGTAAAGGCTAAGGCGACGAGCGGGGTAGGGTAAGCTAGATTCTAGAAGATTCTACGGCGGCTATAGCCGTGCCGCGCTAGGTAATAAGGCGGAAATCGTTACAAATCGCGCTTTATAAATCGCGCGCCTTTCTAATAACAACTTCTTCTACTTACTACTACTTCTACTACTACTACTACTACGACTCGTTACTGCTCCCTTTCTATCTTTACTAAGCTAGACACTATACCTACCCCCTATACTAGCCCCTATAGAAACCCCGAGCAAGATCTCGAGCGCTACCGGTAAGTTTAATATTGTCGCTAAACCTTTATAACCGCGTCGCTAATAGTATTAGTCGCTTAAGTGTTTAAGAGCAAGGAAGTTATCGATCTCGCTAGTACGTCCTCTAACGAGTCTCTCTCTCGCTCTACGAAGCGAGTTCTAGTTAAGAAGACCGGCTCTAAGAGGGTCGCGACTCTAGTAAGTCTCGTTTATAAATATATATTACTAGATATACTAACCCTTAAAGCTCGTCGTAGGCGAAGTCTTCGTGCGTTTCGTTAGTAGCGTAGTGCGCCGCCTTACTTTTAACTATACCGTCGTCCTCTAAGAGGGCGCTAAGACTATCGAGTACTAGTAGTCGCTAGGCACCTCTACTATTAACGCTTAGTCGTACGCTACTCTCCTAGGATCGGACTTTACTTAGAACTTCGGCGCTAGCTCTCCTTTCGTCTAGATAGGACCTAGGAATCGATTTACTATAGGAATCTATATCGCCGCTACTCGGAAGAACGCGATAATCTAAGAATAGTATACTAATTAAGAAGTTAAAAGTTAGAAAAAGCGAGAGGAAATAAGATAAGATATACTATCTACGCTATAGGGCGCGGACCGATATATATACTCTATAGAGGTTAGTTAGCCCTCCGCAAAAAATGAAATCTATAAAGTAACTTATAATCTTCTCCTTCCTATTTTTATCTCGTCTGCCTATATAATAGATATATACTAGGCCTACAATATCGGTTAGCGAAGCTAGCAATATTTAATCTCGCGTTTCTTAGTATATTACCGCCGTTATTACTATTCGTATTATAGTCGGTTTGAAATGTATACTTAATCTAGTTAAGTCCGCTCTACTACTGCGACGACTTCTATACAAGCTCGCTTACTGTCTGTTTTCTATATATAACCGCTTACAATCTCGCTAACACTCTCGTAATATATATCTCGAATATACTACGTCGGAAACGTAGGAGAATTAGAATATAACAATTCCGCTAGAAACTCGAAGAGTTGCTAGAGCTATACTTCGCTTATACTTCTCCTAAGTTCTTCCGCTTTCTAAGACACTTCCGGGGTAAAGTCGTATTCCTACTAGTAGCTAGCATCCTTAGTAGAGATAGTCTCTTAATGTTCTAGGATGCCCTCTTCCTATTCGTACTCTATAGATAGAGGTCGAGTATTCGATTTCGAAGCCCGCCCGCTATCTTCGAATTCTAGTAATACTACTTTCTTCCGGTTATAGTTTATATAGCTAGTATAGCTCCTAGGATCTCCTCTGTAAGCGCAATTACTATATAGTAGCTTTAGCGCTAGGTTATAGGAATAACGGTACCCTTCGAAATAACTACGGTTAGATTCGTAAGTTCTATATTTCGAAGGAAAGGGACAGTTTAGTATAGCGTAACTTCTAGCGTCTATACCGAGGATATAGACTAGCGCCGCTCGCCTCGCTCTCTTATCGGTACCTTTCTACGTTACGCCTTCTCCTAGTATACGTATATAGCCCTCTCGAAATACTAGATCTCGCCTTTTACCGCTTACGATTTTCTTTACTAGCGCGTAGTCCGTAGTTCTAGTTTCCTAAATTTCACCTTTTTAATATACTTCTACTACTGCTTATACGAACTGTTACGCGTAATCCTTTCCTACTTTAGGTATAATATTAAGGCTCGACATTGTATTAGCGCTAGGAATATAGTAGAGAACCCGAAGAGAAAGGAGGATAACTAAGAGAACTGCCGGGAACTTAGCTTATATAGATAGGGGATAGGCGGCTAAATAATAAGGTTCTTAGTACCTCGGAGAAGTAGTAATACGCTAACCGTATTTAGGTAGCTAAACTCTATACCTAAAGAGAAAAAAATGCTAGTACGGATAGAGAAGTTTTATATATACATATTATAGAGAATAACTACTAATCGTAGCCTAAAAGTCTTCTATATCGAAGTCGAGATCTGCGTCTTAAAGTATACTAAGGATCTTAGCTTCTTATTTATATACGACAACCGGAGCCTTTACCTTAGCAATATCGCCTAGCCTTAGAGTGCGAGGTAGCGTTAGAGCGTATAGTATCGAAGTCGGAGTAGAGACTTAAGTGCGGAATATAGGCTTCGAGAGCAATACGGGTTATCCGGGTAGTCGCTTCCTAGAGAACGAAGGACCTAGAATAGGCGTAGTATTCTTAGAAATCTGTTAGATTATACGCGCCGCAGATACGGAACGAGGTATCGGTATAGGTACTAGCGTAGGTAGTATCGACGAGGCCTTAGTTAGATCTGCCTATGCAATCTCCTTCGAAGGTGTTATTTTAGCCGTAACTTGTATTATCTATTAGGCGTTACTAGGACCTAGGGCTAAGTTCTAGAGGTAGACTAAGGAGTCGTCTAGTTAGTATCTAGGAAGTTCTACGAATAACGGTCGGCGCGAAGTTTTCGCTAGTGCTATAGTTAGCGCAGTTTCTCGCCGGCTTAGCTATTATCCGACTCTAGTATCGACTAACGTCCTATCTTCGTCGTTACCTAGTACGAATGCCCTAGGACCCCTTTCTACCCTACGCGGAAGGCTACTATCGCTACCTGCTTCGCGGTCTAGACCCGTAAAGTTTCGAGTATACTAGTTAGGCTCGTCTTCGGGTTCTATAGCGTCTCGAGTAGAACCGGTAGGCGGTTTAGCGATTTCGGGAACGTACGCTCGAGGCACGTAGTTAAGTATACCCTATAGGCGTCGCGGTTGCTACGCTAGTCCGGTAGAGCTAGTAGGTATAGCGTATATCGCTCCGCGTAATAGGACGTTAGAGGTTATACCTATAAATAGATTTCTATCCTTAAAAATAAAGTCGTAGAGACGCTTAGGTAGATATAATAGAGCCGAGCGAAACACCTTGTTTAGGGAGTCGCCGCCCTATGTAAAAGCATACTTTCCGTTAATAAGCATGCGGAGGTTGTATACGTCCGTAACGCGTAAGAATGCTA